TCTGATCCACATTTCATTACTGCACAATTGTATTTGACATGTGCTTGTTCTTGTTTGAGGAGCTCCATGGTACGAAATTGTTTTGCTGTGCATCAATGAAAAATAACAGCTTAATAGGCCTTCACCTCGGTTTTCATTTCATTTGGAAAAACTTCAATCTGAATAGATTCTTGGGGTTTTAACTCAACATGTGTGATTGTTCTACGTACATGTATACAAAAACAGGCATGCCTACTTAAAAATTAACTTAATGCACCTAGGCCCCTACCATCGTTTGTACTTTCTTGCTGGGCTCTAAAACTTTTGTCAAAACAAATATGTCGCATGATCATTCCAAACTTTTTCCGGTTATCACAAGGTTAGATGTTTGTGCCGAAAATAATAAAAAGTTTGGTCTTAAAATAACGAGCACGTACTACCAAAAAATAGATAAGAACGATTAACGATACCGAAATTACGAAGGAAATGTGAAGATCGATACGAAAACACTGCAAGACTGTGCATGGATGTGGTACAGTACTGTGCACGCAACAGCCACCCAGACCGTGTGTGTGCCACGGTCTTACCAAAAATTGTCCTTGTGAACCACGACAAAGTATATCAAACTAACCACCGATATAGGCCTAAATACATTAGGAGAAACTACAGAGAAAGACCAGGTTTTGTGACAAGTTGGTTGTAGCTTACTTCGATCAGTTTCAAGGCGATACTATGAAAGGATCGGGCAATTACCGTGCTGCCAGCCATGCCACTGCCGCTGTAGCTGTGCACAATCTGGAGCCCCGTAGTCTGGCTCCCGACCCGTCTACTCTTGTAACACCTTGTTAGCGGCGCGGCAGGAACCAGTATTGTGCATGCTGTGCGTACGTGATTCTCCACAGAGCTGTGAAAACTTGGGTGTACGTACAGTACATGTACTTTCGTGTACCTAGCTAGCTATGCCGCGTTGTGGAAGATTCGTTCGATTTTGGTGCATTGTGCCGATGTTCTTGTGGCTTTTCTCCGGTGTTTTAAAAGAACTTTTTTTCAAATTTCTGATTGCAATTTTTCTTTCACTTAATATTAGCAACTCTTCCCTTGGAAAATAGAAGCATATTGATTGCGTATCGGGGGATTTTCAGCGTGTGTGTGTTTTTGCTCAGCGTATTGGCCCGATACGCTTTTGAATGCCTGGCTAGAACCCTGATAACAATAAGTACCTTGCATCCCCTTGTATTAATTTGACACTATAAATACAGTCATTATAATAGCGTTCCTTTTTTTCTAGAATCAAGAACAGGTTTTATTTTAGATGGACGAGCCAGTTTTGCAGGTAATGCATATGCTTGGAAAAAAGTTTCAGAGAGAGAAAACCGTTTTTTTTTTTTTTTTCCCCCAGGTCGCGACTACGAGCCACGCAGTTCGTCCCCGGTAATGAAATGCACATGAAGTTACTCAAACGGATGGGGATCAGCTTGATGACCATGAAGGATGGCCGCGTCCAGCTCATGCACTCTGCCGCTCAGGTCAGACCCCGAACAAACCCACGGCAATCTCTGCCCCAAGTCTTTGCTCCATGTCTTGCTTTTGGTTTCATCTTGGGAAGTTTCATACGTTCACCGTTGGAACCAGCTTGATGGAATACTTGAAACTTCCCCTCACATTAGAGGGTTTGATGTTTCCATCAGTAGAAAGTGGAACTGTATTCAACTACTGGATCTCAGCTCATAAAACGAAAGCCTGAACTGGGAGACAAAGTCGAGGTTTGAAAAACTTGAGTAGATTCTGTATTTCAAAGCTATCATCGGCTTGGTACACTGAAACTTGTACAGGTCCGATTCTACCATTCTGCGTTAGATTTAAAGCACTTGTGCTTCTGAAAGTGATAAAACAATGAAGTTGAAATTATCCTTTTAGCCTTTAATGCGTATTGGAGACAGAATCGGAGATTCTCTCTCCCAAGTGCGATTTTTGTTTTACTAATTTTGGCTGTCTTTCCTTTGTGCAGGCAGCTACTCCAGAGGATGCTGAAGATGGAATGCTGTTCATGCAGGAGATGATTGAGCTGTCCAAGACACAGCAGGCTGAAGGTCAGTCGACCGGGGCTTAAACCTTACCCATCCCAAATCCTACAGTCTAACACCCGGTTCAGCCACTGCTAGATTACACAGGGCTTGATGCCTCAATTTTCTGGATTGCGAAGAGCATGCCATTTCTTTACTGCGTAGTTTGATAATCCGACGAGATTCTTGAAGTCAAATGGGATATATACCCAAGGAGTGATGAGAACAACAGTAGCAGTGTTTGAGGTGGCAATATATCACTTGCGTGGTTCCCATGGTAACTGATTAGGACAGTCCAGAAGCTTAAGGAAAGTGGAAGGAAACATCTTCCGATTTTTCCACAAGTCTACTCTGAGTAAAAGGATTGTATTTTCCCCATCCAAATGATGCCTCTTTGGTTAAATTGCTTTACAAGTATGGCACCCCAAGGCAGTCATGCAAACAACAACGATCATGTTGGTGGTGGATTTCACTTCCTGCTAGCCATCTGTGCAAACTTTGTCTTGCTAATGTTCTGAGTGACTCTGGTGACTTTGGTTTTCATCCTTGTCCGTTCCCTCAGTGGAGTACCAGCCCAGGGTGGTCCAGCTTCTCTCCCCACAATTCCTGAGCGGTGTCACAGCCACGGCGGGCCCTGCCCAGTTTGGCCTGGACCTCACTGGCCATGGAGGGGTAAGTTGGCCAGGTGCTCAATGTTGTAGGCTCCCCTCCATTCTGTTTGATTTACTGCTGGATTTCTAGGATCATTATACCGCACTTCTTGCAAGGTGTTTCTAAAGTAGTCCATGAACATTGGAAAGGCTTTCCTTCATTTTGGAAATCATTTTGGTTCCCATTTGTCTGAGGCATGTTTGATGTTTTGCTCTTTGACAGGTTCCAGGGGCTGTGGTGATTGTTGAGCCCTTCACGGCTTGCGTGGAGCCCAAGAACAAGGAGGCATTGCGGGGGAAGATCGCCCTCGTGCAGCGAGGTGACTGCATGTTCATTGACAAGGTCAGTACCCAGTGAAAAGTTAGCAACGAACCAGACGGCAAACCAGAATGTATGCGTGATCCCCTCACAAATTCACAGGTATCAAGACTAACCACTAGCCTCTGTTCCAGATAGAACTTCAACTCATGGTCACCTCTTTTCTCTCTCTGTAACCTCCTCCATCCCAATCCCCCCTCCACAGGGCAAAGTCATCGAGCGAGCGGGGGCCATCGGCGGCATCGTCATGGACAACGTGGCGGACTCCAGCAGCGAGAAGTCGGCCATGTTCTCCATGTCCGGGGACGGCAGCTTGGACGTGACTATCCCCATGGTGTTCCTGTTCTCCAAGGAAGGGGCTTTCCTCAAGGACATAGTGGAGGGCCACAGGGGAGAGGTCCAAGTCATACTGCTGGAGAAGGCCAAAACTTCAGGTTGGTCAAAAATAACCCGGCATTTATAAGGCTCACCGTACCTTGTAATATTTGTCAATCAGAGGCACCGATTTGTTATCATTATCCCAGCCCGTCAGGCTCCCATCTGAGTATCGCCAAAACGGGCTCAGCTCCTGGGGGTAATATACAGCTCTTTGATGCCTGTTGAAATGCAGAAGGCTGATCCAAAACCAGTAGCCATCTCTTCTCCCACAGGGATGACCATTTATACCCCGGGATGGAGAGAGGCACTCAGAGGGGAAGTGAATTGCCCAAGATCACAACATGTGACTAACTGCTTGATTCATACCCTGGCTCTTATGATGAGGAATTACAAACCCCATCCATTAGGCTTCATGGACTCATCAGTAATAGACTGTCAAGGTTCTCTTGAATGTTGTCTTGGCACTCAGCTCTTGCATGAGCCTCGGGAAGAAACATACCATATAGACCTAAACTTTGGACATGTTCACATTTCTGTATAATTGTAAAACTTGTCAACCACAAGTCCATTCGCACTTGTCTTTATGTGAAACAGAGGAAATCAAGAAATACATGGAAGACCTCACCGCTTCTGGGATAAATCTGTCCGACCCACTACCCAGACCAGACGCCGAAGATCAAGGGTTGCCCAAAGACTGGGTTCAGGAAAAAAAAACAGTAAATGTCAACGTGGAAGTCCTAGTAGATGATCAGATAGTCGAGATCAACAAGGCCCTGTACTCCAAGGATTGGAGGACTATCTCGGAAGGGAAGACAGGACAGGGGAGCTGTGCCACAAGGAGTAAAGCACAAGAGCAAGAACAGCCACAGCAGCGAGAGCATCGACAGCAGGATCGAGAATGCCAGAAACAGCAGCAACAGCCCTCGCAGCAGCAGCAGTCTACTCAACAGCAGGAGGAGAGCGGCAGCATTAAGATGCAAGCGACCATCCACTCCCCTCAGGTGGTCACGCACATGCAGCAAGAATCAAAGCAAGCGACCCAAACCTCAGGCGCAAGCGTGAATCCGCAGCAGCAGCAGCAACCACAGCAGCAGAAACAGCAACCTGATGAGCAGAGGAAACTCTTTGTTGAAGGTGATGAGGCAGATGCCCTGATCCGCAACTTAGTCAGAGAAGGCAAGATCTCGCTGGACGGCGAGGAGTTGTCAGAGGAAGGGAGTGAGCAGTTTATCTCCACCCTGGGGATGGAGGAACTCCAGAAGAGCTTTGATGGCCTGATGCGGGAGTACCTGAGGACCGAGAACGGGAACCTGTACCGCCAGCGGCGAGCAGAGGCCGCACTGCGGCACAGCATGGACGCCTACACGGGTCCGCCAAGCGACACCCAAGACACTCAACAGTTGCCGGAGAAAGATTTGCAGGACCAGCTGGAGCAGATCCAAGAGGAGTTCATGAAATTTGAGAGTGTGCGACTAGGCCTGGATAAATTTAACCCTCTCCATGACAATGCTGAGGGGATAAACGGAGATCTCCCTCTTAGTCTAGATCAGCTACCTGAGGAGCTACAGTCGTTGTTGAATGGAATAGGGCCAGAAGGAGGGAACTCCCCCCAAAGGGAGATCAAGACAAACCCAGTCAAAGAAACCAGTAGAACTAGTAAGCAGGATAGTAGTGGAAACCAGGAAGCTGTCCAGCATATACAAGTGATGCAGCCAACTCCAATACCATCTCAGGAAGGACTAAGTCAGTACAGTATTGAGCGCACTGTTGTAGCTGATACACCTGGCCAGCAGGAGAACATTCAGCCAGGGGCACCTGTGGAAAGAAATCCAGCAGCAGGTGAGCACAAAGCAACGGGTGATCAGCTGAAGGAGAGTATACCAAGGACTGCACCTGCAGGTGTGCAGGTGCAGGCTAGGGAACAGGTGCAGCAAGGCTTGCACAAACCAACAGGTGTTCAGGCGGAGGGGAGTATACCAAGGACCACACCTGCACCTGCAGGTGCGCAGGTGCGGGCCGGGGAACAGGGGCAGCAGAGTGCCCGCCTCGATGCGCAGCACCTAGAGGTGCAGCGGCACCTGGAGGAGGTGCAGGAGCGCCAGCGCAGGCAGCGGGACCTGCTTCAGCAGCAAGCCACACAGAACCAGGCGCTGCAGGAGCAGGCGCGACACCTGCAGGCCACGCCAGCGCAGCAGCACAGGGCCACTCAGCGATCTCGGTCATCACCTGGCATTTCTAACCAAGTGAAAACATCACCAGATGCCCAGACGGACACCTCATCAGACAGCCGGACAGAGAAATCCCAACAGAACCAGCCAAACCCTTAAAAAATAAAAAATTGCCATCATTAACAAGAAATAAAAATCATTTTTTTTCTTGGAAAAAAAATGAGATGACCTAGCTTGAAAGAATTTACGTGCTGATGCTTCACTTTAATAATGAACCTTAGCATATCCAGTGTTCAGCAAATTTGGAGAAAAGTCTCCTGTCTAGTTCATTTTCAAAAGTTTCTAAATTTCAAGCATCTCAAAACCAGACCACTTTAGAAATGAAGTTGGCATGCACAAAAGATGCTGTCACATTCAATTGTAACTTCTCACCAAAACACTAATTGTCTTCCTTAAAGAAAAAAAACCAGAAATTTCAAGCCAGTGGCCATTTTAGCTACAGCAGTGATTAAGATCATGAATGAGCAGTTTTCGAAAAAAAAAAAAAATTTCACGAAGTTATAGAGTACCGAAGTGAATACGTCACACGTACAATTAGTGTGTAAAAGGCATTAGCGTGAGAACCAGTGAGTGAACCAACACGCTCGCGTACTCCATTCGTTTGCACTGCACTTTCTGGTTCACAGTGACGTCACACTTCGGTACTCTATGTGCTGCTGAGGTAGTTTGAATGCTCAGGTACATGTATCTATTTGCTGATTCTTTTTACATGGGCAATGATGGCAGCTAGTTCCTTGAAGGCGTCGGGCCTTCCAGTGCATTACAGTACTTGTATTATTCAATAAAAATAATGATATTAAAGCATTTATAAGGCGCACAGTCTATGTAATTCAAAGGTGCCAATATGTCATCATGGGCTCACATCATCTGAACATTCCTGAAACCATCTCAGCTCCCTGGGGAGTATACTCGCCTGATTCTGCCATTTCTGGTGCAAACAGCTGAACAAGGTATCGATATCTGCCGTCACGGATACCCATTTACTCCTGGGTGGAGAGAGGCATGAACGAGCACAGCGACTTGCCCAAGATAACAACCTGCTGCCAGCAGTTGGATTCGAACCCCCAACCCGAAGAAAAAAAACACCTCCAATGTCGAATTAAGTTTTCAAAAACTTGGTTCGAAGAAGGAAATATTAACGTCCTCCCAGAAGTCATAGATTTTGGAGATTTTTCATTATTGATTTTTCCGTAATTGTTGCGACTTTGTGGTGACAGAACCAAGAAACCATTTGTGGGACATTTTTAATATTTGGGGGGGGGTTGAAGTTAAAGCAAATAGCGTAGAGGTAAAAACTTGGGGATGCCAGTCAAGATGTAGGGGTTCTGCCTTGCGTGCAGTTCACGGTAGAATTATTTCTTGGCATCTAATCAATGACATGAAATGCTTGAAAGTTGAATTAACGTATATGGTGTGTATTTTTCCTGAAGGCCTTTTTGGGTTTCGAAAGCCACTTTTTTTACGGAAGCACTCTTGGAAAATGTGCTTTGTTTGCGTAGGTATTGGGGAGCAGTTACAGCAGATTACAGAAACTGCATTTTTAGTAAATGAGGGCAATTTTTGAAAATAAATACAAGGGCATCAAAAGTGCAATGATTTAAGGTTTATACAATATAAAATATATTTAAAACATGGTATTCCCTTTCCAGTGCAAGGGCAATTTCTCCATGTTCTAACATATCAGCTTACATTATTATACATGTATTTTATGATTTGTTCTATTTAATTTTAAATCCTTAACCCTAACAGTCCTCAGTCCTCCAACAGGTGAAGGATTGAGGAGTGATAGGGTTAATTACCTGTGAAATGGTTGGGTACCTTCAGACCTGTGGCCGTGTGTTATTTTTGTCGTGGGTAGATACTATGAAAATTTCAGACCATTTTTTTTTGGGGGTGGTGGGGCATCTCATCAGAAATTGGCTTGGGGAATTGTGTTTTAAATTTCATGAAAGTCAACAGGTTACTTGTTTGTAGTGCATGCATATACATGTACGCAGCTTCCCACGCAGGAATACTATGATAAGAGATGGTAATAAGGAGATATTTGTAGGAAGGGTGGGGTTGTAAACCCCCCCTCCCAAAGTTTTTATTACAAGATCCTTTTTGCGTGGTGCAAATGTGTTCTTCAAGATGTTCCGGGTGTAAATATTGAATTTTTTTGCTTTGAGATGAGGGACGGTCTTCCCTTGTGTAGCGGCACAGTGGCATGCCGGAAATCTTTCATCTAAACATTTGTGCGTGATGTCGAAGAGTTAATCTACCGACCAGGGGAAAAATGTAAAGTGGATTTTTGCATATGTGGGTTTTGTGTGGAAAAGTTTATTTGAAGGGTATTTAGAGCGGAAAGGTTCGTTGTGATTTTTTATTTTTCGTGATCCCCTATCCAGCAGTTTTGAAGTCTTTAGGTTTTCAGATATTCCACACATATGAAACAAATGTAAATGTCAGAAATGTTTAACTGCAACTAACAAAGTTCTCAAACAAAATATGTTATCATAATAGACTCTCTAGTTTGATTCCTGACCAATTTATTTCAGTTTAGTTCATAGTTATTTATATATACATGTATATGGAAACGAACTTGGTGTATTTTTAGTTCACTTCACTTTTAGTGAAGTTGGAATGTTGGGTTCATTGTTTGTATATATGTAAAATTACAGGGCAAAAATATCGCTGTTTTGAGCTTACATAATCATGGTCATCGGGAAAATTCAAGTAATATATTCTACTGTTTCTACCTTCTCATGTTGGGAAGTTTTTTCACTTAAAAAACTGAGCTGTTTCAGTGGCCCGATAGGAAAGTTTTTCCTTTTGAGCCACTGGCACATGGAATAGGGAGAGCCTTCCAGCATTGCAATGCAACTTGTCAAAGTGTGGTTTGTTAGCCGTGGTTTGTTAGGGATTCAGGCCTGGCCTGCAGTTGGTGTCACTTTGTTGTGTGTTAGGACCCAACCAAGTATAATTGCGTTGGGCATTATCCATCTAGGAAAATCTTCGAAATTTTTTTCCTTTTAGATTAAGATTATTGGTTTCACCATTTTACTTTCCCTTGAACCATTTTACAACAGTTTTTATTTCCAGGCGAATTTGAATGGTCATCAGCCCAAACATATTAAACCAGTTATGTGTTTGTTTTCAGTGTTTTTCATGTCATCTATTTGATTTTTAAATTAAACTGTCATGTCTTTTTTAACATGTTGCAGTTTGGGGGAATATTTTCACACTTTATGTTGGCCTTTTCTTTTAGAGGGTAATTCATTTAGAAACCTTATTACTTTAGTTCGTTTTTTTTCCTTTTAATTAATCATTATTCTCATAGATACTTCATAGCCTCAAAGACACTGTGATATATTTAATGTACATGCATACATGTGATTAAGTTTTATTTTTATATCTGTTACATTGGTAATGTGAAATCCACCTCATGTATTTAAATTCGCCTGATGTGCATTTCATTTCATTTAAAAAAAGGATAACCTTTTTTAATGTGAGACTGCATGTGTTGACAAATTTCCCTGTTGTATTTGCAAAAGTGTGTAAAATCCGAGACACTGTTTGGTCTAAAATGTTTGTTCTGTGATTTGTGGAATGAGGAAAAAGGGATCAAATGGATTGAATAAAAAAATGACAAAGTCCAACTATGAAGTCTATCCTGCCGTTTACCTTCTGTAGCAGCTAAAAGGAGATTCCAAACACATTTTACAAGACAGCTTTGTCAACATGGGCTTTCCAGAATCATTGCAGCTCAGACGGACTAAATAATTGTGTTTGGAACCTCGAACCAAACATCTTTGGTCCATTTCTTTTGGATACTGATGGCAACTTTCAAAATTCAACAGTCAACAAATGCTGATTTTCTGAATGAATGAAAGTTCCAGATGATATGTTCAGAAAAATCCAATTGAGTTTTATTCAATAGAGATTGTTCTTCACAATTTTAAGGACTGTACATGCATAAATAGTTTTGAAAAATAATGAAGGCACCTTGCTACTTTAAAAGCAAGCAAATATTTCTTACAGGTATATGAATGTTTCATCATGAATGCAATTTCATTTTGCCCTGGTATTCCAGGGCAGCGTTTCTTGTATTAGAGAATTCCCTTTGATTTTGAAAACTTAACAAGTGTTGGTCCAGCCAAAAAAGCGTTACATTGCACACATCATATACTGAGTTACATATGGCTGTCTGGACATTTCTTCCTTGGGAAAACTGAGCTCCTTGACTTGACACTGTGATACAGTGAGACCAAACACTTGCAGGATTAAAATAACTTTGAACAATTTTTCTTGACCACAACTGTGTCCCTCGCAATTTCATAGCGAGTTCTTTGGCTAGTCAGACCTCTAAACCGTCCAGGGGACAAATTGAGCCTGCCTCACTGAGCCATTGGTCGATGCAGTCACAGTGGAAGACATGTTGACATGGTAACCACTTGGCAACCTCGTCGGCATGGTAACACTCCATGCAGATGGCGCACGCGGCACCTGCAAACTCTTTATTCGCAAGGTCCTCGTCGGTTAACAGTCTCGTGTGCAGGTTATTCAGGCGGTCAGAGCCCACGGTCTTCTTGGCGACCTTCTCGTCCAGACGGAGCAAGAGATCGTAGTCCTCTGGTAGCAGGTCTCGATGCTGGATGAGAGCTAGAACCCTCAGAAGTTCCGCTTCCTCCTCAGTGGAAGCAAACCGAGACACGTCGGTCTCCCGCAGTTCGTACCTCACAGGTTGTGCATGCTGTGTCAGTTTTGCATGCTTTGTTGGCTGTGCAGGACTCCCTGTACCACCACAGTTGCTGACACAGTTCTTCGGAGGTCCTCTCCTCTCCAGCTTCAACACTCTCAGCCTCTTCTCGATGTTCTCCTTCTTGGCAACCACAGCATCTTTGAATCGCTCCTCCCTCTCCTCACCCCTTCTCCTGATGTCATGCTTCACCTTTACCAACACCAGGGGATGCCCGCTGGGGCATCTGAAGACGTTCTTGGGCCTGAACTGCTTCTCCTTGAGCATTCTTCGAGCCCTGCTGACTCGATTGGCCTGCTTAGTCCTGCCAGCATTTCCCTTCTCTCGTCTGGAGCGTTTATGGGATTTCAGCATGTTCTCGGTGCATTCTTCGGCTAACATATCAAGCTCAAAGTCATCACAATCACCATGAGAAAAGCCGGCCGACCCTGCGCCACCGTGGCTGTCTCCTTCCAAACTCGAGTGCCAAGCGCAGCCCGGGCCGGGTCCCTCTGACGGAGGGCAGAAACAGGTGAAGCAGTCCCCGCACACTTGGCAGCGATGGAGGCCGATCCTGGTCGACAGGCTTGAGTCCACGACTGTGCACATCTGCAACTCGGGGGCTCGCCTCAGTCCTTTCTTCTTTCGGGTCATATTATTCTGAGGAGTTCCAGACCAGCAGCTGCTCTCTGTGGAAGATTTTTGTAACGATGATTTCCGTCTCTTCTTTGCATGTTTTTTGTCGTCTTTATTACCTGGTGAAGTATTCGCCGCAACAGGTCCTTTCTTGCTCCCGATCTCCTCAAAACATCGACCCAGAGGAGGGTCAGCTATAACAGAATCGCCTTCAGCTACCATTTTCCTGAAATTTTGTCAGCACAAAATAACAGCTAATCCCGCTAGACGATTTAGGTAGACCAGCTACTGACCAATCTTCCAAAGGAGGTTACATTTTTATGAAGATTATATTGCACAATGATCTGCAACTTAACCTGTTACCGTAGCTGCAACAGCCCCCTACTATTTTTGTCGCATGCTGTAATGTTTATAATTATATGTAAATAAGTCCCCTGATGTGTTGCTGGAGTTTGATTGGTCAAGGTGGTAACGAGTGATGACGTCTATTGTTAATAGCAAGATGGCTGCGCCCATGTCGACGGAAAACAGCTCCAGCAGCGATGAAGATGATTTTCAGGAAAATGAGCATTTACAACCAAAAGTACATCGGTACAATTGGCTTTCCGATCACCCAAAGGTAATTAAGACTATGACTTTTCTTCTCCCACCTTCGGCAGGTAAAGTGTCCGTTGGTTGATTGGCTGGCCGCACCGGCCGGCTGAGCATTATTATTATGATCATGATGTAGTAAGCACATTACCTCGGCCTCGCCGGCGGCGCGGCCAAGGTGCGCGCGCATATCGTTGGTGTTTTCACGAAGTGACAAAAAACTGGGAAATCGACAAATTTTCGATCTGGAGTTTCCCGCCATTTTACTTCCTTAGATCCAAAGAACAAATTAGCGGAGTTTCAAAGCACAAATGTTGTAATAAAAACTGACAAAAAGCTTGGTCTGTGTTTCTTAGAAAGTGGCAAGTCGTTAGCAGGGCAGAAATAGAGACAATGTACACATGCGCATATACTAACGATGTTGTACATGAGTACAGGTTGGCATAGTGATAGTGGTTCTGTCCTCGCCTTCCACCTCTGCGGTCCTGGTTCAAATCCCGACTGGTCCACATGTGGATTGGGTGTCAGTCCCTATCTTAGAATAAGAACTTGCTAACAGAATCAGAATTTTTTTACAGATTCATGTCTTTTCAAGATTTCCCTAATGATTGACCTTTATGGAGAGGATATATAGTGAAAACAAGGAGGCAGGATGCAAAAGTTCCACGTGCGGACATCACATATTTTTTCTTTAAGTGGTTTGTAAGCCATCAGTTTGATTGAACTGTTTTCTCCATTTTTCTGTCAGTACACTGAAATGCGGTCATGGAAGTTGGACAATGATGTGCAGATTTTCACCACTTTGGTAGTTTATCTGAATTTGTGCGAAGGTATGTGCATGTCATTATCAACTTTTTAATTCGAAATATTTTAACACTTTGCCATAATTCTTCACGGTATATTTTGTATTAAATAAGCCTATTCATAATTGGCATTCTTAAAAATGAGTCCATTGGTTTCTCCTAGCTAGACTTTTTTCCTCTGGACAAATTAAATACTTTTTTTAATGCTGTCTTACACTACATAATTATATGACTTTTTACTAAATTCACATTTTTCCAAGTCCCTGCCGCCGGCCCTTAAATCCTTACTGAGGCTTTCTTTAATGGTTTGTTTTAGCCAAGGATTGGTGGAGCGTTGAAATCCATCCGTGCAGAGAGCTCAACCTTGCCTTCATCACGGGCAAGCCAAGGAAGAAAGGAAACCTGCGAGTTGTTCTGCCCGTCACCACGGAAACACAGCTGAGTCACAAGAGGTGTGGTCAGAGGCATATCCAGGTCTTGAGTCAGAAGGAGGGGCAACTGGAATTTTTTCTGAAAATGACTGTTCAAATATTTTCATCCATAAAATTAAATCATTGCCCTCCAAGAAAGTTGATAGTTCCATTTTGAAATGCTAGCACATTCAATTTCTTGCCCTCTGCCCCCCATGAATCAGTGGGTGTGTTACTCTACTTGTCCCCTCCCCTTTCCACGCCCATGATTCTCTCTTCTTTAGATTTTGTAAATTAAGGGGGAAAGGGATTTTTCCATGTCAGCTTGAGTAAGCAAGCACAATGGATTATACAAGTTCAGAAAGATTTTTTTTTCAGGACACAATCAAGTTGATGCACAAATTTTGATATGGTTATAAATTTTAGGAAATTTTAAAAACTCTTTGAAGGGACTGTTAACACTGTGATGTGTTTATAAAGCAAACTTGACACAATTTTGCTTCAGAGTATTGGCTGCCCTGACCCTGTGTCCCCAAAAAGTACAACGAATATTTGAAGCTATTTTTCATATGTTCCGCGTCACGTTTGTGTTTTAGATTGAAACAGTTCCTGCAGCATATCCAATTACCGGGCCCTCCCCCACCGACAAGCACCTCCCCTGATGAAGTGGACACAATGCCCAGGGAGGATATGCCCACCTCTCTGGTACTTGCCATTACCGAGCCGGGTTCCACCATCGTGTATTACGAAATCAGCGATGGTCTGGTGCCCCCTTCAGATCCTCCAAAAGAGGACGAAGAAGATGACGAAACCAGCAGACGCCCCACGATACGGACAAGGAAACGCCATCCCAAGGACGGTCCCACAGGGATACAAGAAACAGTCACTGAATATTCAAATGAAGAGAGGGATGAGTTTATGGAGGAGGAACTTTAGCATCTATTGATTGTCTGCTGGGTTACCCTGACAACCATGGGTGTAAAAATTAGGTGTCATTTATGCCAACGTTTGGGCCAGACCAAAATTTTAGTGTTACTGTTCATCATTATCCTGAAATTAAGCCTCAATTTGTTGGTAAAACTAAAGCTTACTCCCTACTCTGTATAATTGTCAGAGCTATAATAAGCCTGCACATACATGTACATGTATTATGGGAAGAAACCTCAGTTTGTATGAATTATGTAAATGACCCGAGTGTGTTCATCTTTTAGATGGTGAAACACAATATCATCGTGTCAGGTGTTGTCCTTCCTTCTTTTTTTTTTACATTTTATTGGAGAACTGTACATTTGTAAAGATGTGAAATGAAAAGTACATAAAGCTTATCAAATCTCCTTTGGAAAAAGATCTGTTCTGTGATTTCTGTCTGAAACTCTGTTTTGTAAAGAACACCCTGCAGAACTCTTGTTTGAAACATTGCTTGCTTTCATTGGAAACTCCACCCTACTGTAAATATTATAAACCAGCTTGTCCAATCATAGAGCATTTCCTCCCTGCGATAATACCACGCCCCCCATGGAACGTGTCAAAAGAGGGCGCTCATCAAAAACAACAAAAATGGGTGACCTGGTGTTAGGAATGGATGTTGGGGCTTTTTTCCCCGCACTTTTTAGCTTAACTGACGGCCAATTGGCGGTAAGAATGGCACCGTTTAACGTCTTCACATTTCATAGACCAAATAGGTACTTGGTTTTGTAAACATAAACCAATGACGTAATAAGAGCGGGGGTGGAAAGTTTACTTTTTTGTAGTTGGTCAAAAGTATCTGGCGTGTCCATGGTTTTCATGTTCATTCGGTTCACGCATTATATATTTGCCCACACCATACACGTAACTGTTTACAGGTCACGTAAATTTGCATATTACGCAGGCGGTCTTCGTGACGCACAGTACTTCTAGTGAATTGCAGATTTAGGGAATTTGTAAATAAATAATGCACGATGGTTTAGAACATCTCCACTGCTGCCAATCAAAATATTAATACATGATTTAGGCTGTGATTTTCAATGTTGATCATTGCTGCTCAAACACCTGTAAGATTACAGGATCCAATCTCAGAATCTAATTTATGACGAGATTCTAAAAAATGTGCTAAAACTTAATCCTCTCAAAAATTTTGAATGTAACAGAGTGACCACTGTTGACAGTTCTTATATCTGTATGTACATGGCAGTTGGTAGGTGTTGTGTGTGATATAAGAGAAATTAAAGCTCTCTTAAAATTTTATTGATAGCATCTGACATTCATGGATCAAAATTTAAACTGGAGACCCCTCAAAATGAATTAAGGCTCAATTCAAAGGAATCACATGGTGATAGTTGTTTCAACCTGACTCCTTTATTTCCCGAGCCTCAGGCTATAAAATGTAGATACCCTCTGCACCTGCCTTAGCAAGCGGTGATGTGTAATTGCACTCAGTATTGGCACAAACACGAGGGCTCATTAGCATGTGTGCAGACAGTTCTGTGGAGATGCCGAGCCTTTTAGCAATTCAGAGAGGAGCATGACTCATATGACTTGGTGAATGCAGTGTGTCGTTTCTAACAGTTGTGAGCTGTGCATGCACAGCACAATATTAAAGACATCGGGCAGCCCTCGGTGACTGGATTTTGTAGCTGACAGGATCATTCTCATGCAGCAAGGCCCGGGAATTAAAAATTCGGAAAAAAATTGAGCAGCAGTAATGTGGACGGGGCGATGTCTGGCACGGGCTATGTAAACCACGTCCGCATCTGGCCCCGGTCCGGACTCATCTGTCTCTACTTAGGGGTGGTCTTGCTCGTCCTTCACGCCTGCTACAAGCTCCTATCATGGTATTTGTATGTCACCATGTTGCTCTCCTTGTACGAACAGACCGTCATGACGGTGGGGCTGATTGTCGGGGTGCTGGTGGCGGCCATTTTGATTTGTGCCATCATCCGACACAGACGGAAGCTCAAATGTAAGTGAACAGGCAAATGATGCAGCACACTTTTTGTTTACAAAAGCTATTT